AGGTCACAGCTGTTCTGTTGCACAATGGACTCCAGTTCCTCTTGCTTGTTGCTCATGCTGTGTGCATTAGTGTAGATGCACTTGAGCTGAATTCTCAAATCCACTCCTACCCTCAGTGTGCCACCCCTAGGTTTGTCTGACTACATTGGATTTGACGTGGAATTTCATTTTGAATGCCTTAGGATAAAGATAAACCTCTCATTGGGATGATATACCCATTAAACTATGCTGATTTGGAACAAAAATAGTACTTCATTTACTGTAAAAAGTATGTTAGTCAGGGAGATGAACCAACTCATTTGTTCAAAAGCACCATGGCTGAACACTGACTCAGAAGACTGAGTCATTTTTTGTTGAAATACCTAAAGTAAACATTAAGGATCATGTCAAACCACTAGTGGAGAAAAAGTGTAATTTAATTAAGGCAGGCTAGCTAAACAAGTTTCACAGGACACATTCTGCATGTTAAGGGGACTTTAAATTAAGCAAATTAAATATTATCAGTGATAAGTGAAAGAAATTGAAAACTACACAGTAACAAAAAGCAAAGACCAACACATTCCTGAAATATAAACATAAACACACAGAGATGCACTTTTGCTCTGCTGTCAAAATCTAAGGCAGATACTAGATGCACGAAGTAGTGTAACAATATTTTTAATCTGGCCCCACATTCAAGAGGTTTTCCTCCTTACTCCGTTTGAAATCTAAGGAGAAATAACTGACACTTGTTACTAAAAATGCCACAAACTAAGCCCAATGTGCATATGAAGTGTCTCAATTTTCAGCAATAATCAAGCAAACATGTTTTCAAGCCCCCATCCTTGCTAGATTTCAGGCTGCTGCAATGAAAAATGTGTTGGTGCAATTAACTGACAAGAACAGGACAGACAAAAAAAAAAAAAAAGAAAGTAACTCTTCACACTGTTTTGCCCCTGCTGAGTATGACAAAGCCCCGTTTTAGGACCAGGACTCTCACTAACCACAACAATGCCAGTGGCAAGCGGCATGCCCACACAAAGTCATGGATGCACACGCAGCATAGAAAGACTGTCTGAAGTCTGAAAGAACTACAAGGAAACCAATTTGCAAAGTCACGAGTAACACAGAAGCAGAAGGCCTTTAGTTTTCTGCTGCAGATACATCTGAAAGTTTCTGCTGCAGGTGCCCTGCACAAGGGTAACCAAAAGAGTTTTAGCACCCTCTGTTGGCCAAGTGGCTTGAGCAAACCTGAAAGAAAGCATTGACAAACATTTCTAAAATATAAACTTTTGACAAAGCAAACTTAATCCTTGCTATTTATTTACTTGAGAGTCCCTTCTCTAACTCATAAAAAAAAAAAAAAAAAAGATGGAGAGCATGCAACTTGTCAGAATATAATGAAAGTTCCAGTGCTGTGAGCATCTCATACGTTTACAGGGTGAAATCAGTTGGTCAGGCACAGATGACTAACGTTTATTTCCCTTACGCACTATGACCATCTAAGGCAGTCCAGTTAAGTGAAAAATGTAATCCGTTTTCTGGGAAAATAAAAAGTTCACCTTGTCCTAGCAGCAGCCTTATCACTGCTTATACAATTCCCAACTCCAGATGAAAGGCACCACACGAGATTCAGGTGCTGCACCTCTAAGAATAGTTCACAGACACTCTCTCTTCTGGGAGCCAAGCCTCTCAACCACTGGGACTACGCTGAAGCACCATTAAGAGAACTGGTACACAATACTCAAGCCCATCAATGGTTTTATGAATGAAATCAGTAGTCAGGCAGCCCAACAGCTGAAAGACCCTCCTGTAAAGTTCCAGAGCACTTTGTTTGCATGAGTTTGTTTCTGCCTGCGCAAGACAGATCCTCTATTCCAGATTACTTACGAGAATTATTATTCCCTGTCGCACTCCTCATATGTCACAGAGTATAAAAAGAATGTTTGCAGAGTATGGGGAGGTGCATTCTCAAAGGTTCAAAGGGCAGCTTGCTGCACAGCCTGCGGGAAACCAAGTTCTTATTTTCACTTTTGAACAAGGAACAAAATGCAAAGCTGGCTGCAGGCTCTGCAACCAATTCAGTGAAATCAACGGCCAGTGTGTTGGTTTTAAGTCTATCCTACCTGTACTTACTGCAGATAAAACAGTACAATCCTGCTTACTCTTTTGAATACTGGAAATGGCTTGGAGTCCTACCTGTGAAGCTGGACTTAAAACCAGGAGGAGGAGGTGCCTGCTGACTCTGCCAGGAAGGTCTAGTGAATCCATCACTGTCACCAAAACTCTGCGGAGGCTGCTGGTTACTGAGGAAGAGCTTGTATACTCCAAAAGCAAGAACCAGAAGAACAATTATAACAATCGCTCCAGCACCAGAATCAGAAGAATCCTTCCTTGACTGGTAATAGCCAGAGCCAAAGCTTCCAGAGTTCTTCACTTTCCTTTCACCCTCCTCAGTCAGCTCTAGTCTGAACAGCAAACTACAGGAGCCTCTTAAGATGTAAGGATCATCTGGATAATCGTAGCCTTCACAGCTCACTTCGATTTGGCCAAAACGGTAGATATTTTCCAAGTCTGCTTTGCACTGCCACTGAAAAAATAAACACAATACAAAGTAAAACCTCCTGCTCCAGAGATGAAAATACCTGTCTGCCTCCCCAAATACACTCTTAAATAAAGCTGTAATTGCTAAAAAAATCATTTAAAAGGCCACAGGGTAAGAAATTTCTGAGCACTCCTATTTTGAAAATGACTAGGAATTTGAAGTTAGCTAAGAACATTTTTTTTTAGATCCTAAAAGTTAAAAAAATCTGATCTTCTAGAGCACAGAATAGTTACAACTCTGGAAGATTTTCTTCACTGAATAGGTTTTTCCAAGTATCCCTTCTTCAGGTGTAGGAATATTTCTAAAAATAACCTGTACCTTGTGCAACAGTTACTTAACAAGTTCCTGTCCTATGTAAACTGGACAGCAGCTGGAAAAAAATAATTAGGAAGCCTGGAATCCAGTGCACCCGATTCCATTTGTGTCCACACAGAAATGAAAAGAGATTAAGACAGACATCATTAGGAATTTATATTCAACACTTAATAATCAAATTGTGATTCTGCAGTTGAATATATGCAGATTTGTCAGTCTCACGGTTCCTTGAAATATCTGAACTTAAGTATCCCCTCTAACTACAAGTGACACATATTGGAGGGGAAAAAAAAAGCAATTTCTAAATTAATAATTTTGTATAGCAGACCAACTGCCAATTTAAGTTGGGCTGTACTTTTACAACACTGGATTAGTTTTAACAGCTATCTTCAGTTTTGATTCCTGGTTAATCTATTGGCAGAAGCCTAAGTAATACCTAACAAAACAAATACATGTCTATTGAGCATCCTCAAAGGTTCACAACGGTTTGATTTTATAAACTCAAGCAACATTTTTATTAAGATCAGTGAAGGTTTGCTACATAGTGTTTTTACATTACAGCCCTCAAGGATATTTCAAAGATATACCTAGAGTAGTTCTAGAAAATCCAAACCTGAAAAGTATTTAGGTTAAACTTTAGTTGACAAAGGTCCTCTAACAAAAAGCAAACTGAACTGACAGCCTAGCCCGTTACTTTTTTCTCCTTCAGAAGTTATCAAGTCTGGGGGAAGATGATTTCATTAAACACTTAACAAACTTTAAGCAGTTACCTGTACATCATAGCCATCCCAGCCTTTGTTGTAACACTGAACAACCTCGGGGACACGGGAACATCCAGCAGTGCCTCCTGTGCACTGTAACTGAGGGACGGCAGCTGTCCGCCGAGACGTGGTGTACTGACCTCTGCGCAGGGTGAGCGCCTGCACCTCCCTCAGCAGGACCCTCCCTGAAACAGGCAGCACAAAGATCAACGTTTGTCCAGACACATTCCCCTTAGCCACAAGGGGCTCCCTTCAGGAAAGGGCTGACAACACAAAGGATGCAACAGTGTGCTTCTTCAAGGGGGAAGCTTTAATTAGTACCAGACACACAGAAGGTAACACGGCGGCGTTTCCCGCTTCCCTGAGGCCGGGCTCTGGGCGACTCCTTTGGGAGCACACCCCCACCGCTAACCACGCCACGGAACCACCACTGCGGCACAGGACAACTTAAAGGGAGCCCAAACCAAAAAGCTTCCCCCGCGCAGGCCCCAGCGCGCCCCCTCCCCCGCACCGGGTGGCCGCGGACCCAGC